CTACTATCAACTAATGTGTTAGCTGCGTGACTTGAATTAACTATTATCAACATTGATAACTATTATCAAACTGAACTTAAATGTTCATAACTATTACTGATTTGTTGATAAGTATTTCAGTGTGCTTTGTTGAAAATCACATGTGTCATTTGTTGATAACTATTTCAGTTTGATAACTACTGAATCACAGTCTCCAACAATCTGCCCCTAATCATTTCACTTCAGCATGATTTGTTGATAATAGTTGTTTAACATGTGTGATTGATAATTTACTTGACATTGACCTGATATGTTTGTAAAACTGCCATGTTTGTTCAGATTGAAAATGCTATGTGTGTAACATGTGTGTAATTAATCACAAATGCTATGTTTGAAACTGCTGTATTTGTTCAATTTCAAAATGTTATGTGTGTACATTGAGCTGCGATGTTTGTTCAAATGCTATTAACAGTTTAGTCTTTGTAACCTCTGTGCAAATGCTATTAAACATGGCAGTTTGAACAAATAGATGTTTTCAGTAAAGACACACTCTGTCCCTCAAATTAAACTAGACCTGCTATTAACCCCATCAAACAGAAGCATAGCAGAGCACTACAAATTTCTCATGTATGCAGATTTAAAAAATGGCTTCTTCTTCTAACATTAGCAACATAAGATTACAAACGAGGCTGTGCAATTGTGGAAGAACCGCTGCCATACGTATTGTCAGAACAATAAGAATGGAAATGAAGGGCGTTTGTGCTTTGTTTGCCCATGAAAATATGTAAGTATGTATTGGAAATTTTAATCCTTTAGTAGTCACAGTAATATTTGTCGTATTCAACTAACTGATTGTCATGCATTGTAGAGTACCACTCCCACTCCCCATTGCAATTACTTCAAGTTCGTGGCTGAAGATGATGACGACGTTATGTCCACAATCCCTTCCAACACTAGAGCTGGTGATGCTTTAACAGTAGAACACTTCAACGATGTAAGGACGAGGCTTCATGACTTGGGAAATGACCATGGTCGAAGGCTTGAAAGGATAGAAAATATTATCAAAGCGATGGTGTATTTCATTATATTTTCTAGAGCCTTGCTACATCCCCCTAATTTTTGGCCCCCTAATCCCTCTAAATTTCAAACCAAAAAAAAAAAAAATTGCCCAAAACGACGTCGTTTGGGGCATTAGGGGGATTAGGGGGGGGCATTTTTAGGGGGACAAATCATTTTGCTATTTTCTATCATTGAGAAATGATTTGTCCCCCTAAAAATGCCCCCCCTAATCCCCCTAATGCCCAAAGTGACGTCGTTTTGGGCATGTTTTTTTTTTTTGCCTTGTTCTGATTTTTCGGGGGATTAGGGGCCCCCAAATTCGGGAGATATAGCACAACCCTTCTATTATTTTGTACTTGATCATGTAACTTTCGTACTTCTTTATATTTTGGGAAATTGAATGGAAGTTTGTACCAGTTTTTGTTGTATTGTACTTCATGATGTAAGTAATGTTTATGGAATGAATTTTATTATGATGTAACTTATGTAACTTACTTAATAGCTTTGTGGAATGAATTTTATTATGGAATGAATGTACGGAATGAATTTTATAAGTTATTATGATGTGACTTATAATGTTAGTCTGTAATGAATTTTGGGAAACATTGGTGTCATTGTAAGAGCTTTGTGGATGCTATTTGGCAGATCTGTGGACGAATTTTGTGGATGGTATGTGGATTCATTTTTGTGGATGCTATGTGGATGAATTTTGTGGATGCTTTGTGGATGACTGAATTTTGTCGGTGCATTGTCACTTATCTGTGGCCTGTTTTCTATTGCAGGTTCTCTTATCTGGGTGCATCAATTTTGGTTGTAATGAACAACTTCTGTTATGTGTTGCAGGTTTGCTTGTAATTAACAGATTTGGCAAATCTGTTATCTGTCAACTAGTATCTGTTTGTCACTTATCTGTGGCCTCAACTATTATCTGTTAGCAAGTTGAAAGCAGATATAGGATGCGTGGTACATTTCTTCACCATCGTGGTGACTTCTTCATTAATGAATATCAATACTCTGTTTCTGCATGGTCTATTGTATATTTTTTTGTTTGAAGGGGAGCTGATTAGTTCATAACAATGCACAATGGGAGAAAAATTGCTAATGCACAGGTTGACCCCATGGGATATGCTTCCACACAACCGTCGTGTTTGAAAAAACAAAACATTTTGTGCCCCTATTGATGTTAAGAGTGTATGAGACCGTTGGCTGGTTGTGCACAATTTTTGTTTGCAATTACAGCTTGTGATTCCAGTCAATGATTGCGACACTTAAACCTTATTGTCCATATTGAACGATTCTCAAACATGAAGTAATCAACAAAACATAGGTTAATGATAGTTTCTAATATCAGTCATTGACATTACAAAAAAATTACCTTGTCATCGTACCAACAAAAATCATAAGACAGGTTTTAGTCGAGGACGGTGACCCAAAAAAATACCTTCAACAAAGTGGACATGATGAAGACGTTAACGCATGCACCGTTGCAATGGTTAGAAGAGTATGATGGTCTGTTAGTTTCTAAGTCGTTTATTTTCGCGCGACGATGCCATCTTACAAGACTACGCTTACTATGTCATACACATGTCCAGGTCTGCTAATCCTCGCTCAAATCGACAACCTCGGAGTCTGAGTAATCTGAAAGGTCAGGGTCCGACACCAGTGCAGGATCCTCCATTATAGCCTTTATCGCAGATGCCGGGTTCGATCCATGTATCTTCGATTCTGTCTTTGCGTCCTCTATCCGTGAGTTCCTAATGAGTCGACGAGTCATTTGATCAACCTCACTTTGCAAACGATGCCTAAGTTGGGAGTCGCTGACATGAGGGAATTGCCGCTGCATTTCAACCGATCGAGCTTTTGTGACCTTCAGAAAAGCACATCGACAGTGGTGTTCACACTGAACTCGTTTGGCAAACAGTGAAACTAGAATTCCAAAATACTTCCCCACGCAAGCATCTTGTATTGGGGTGCAGTTGTAATCCCGTAGAGGTTCAAAACTCCACAGTGGGAACCCTGTTTCAAAGAAACGTCGATCACCGAAGGAATCGATATACCCACCTACATAATCCAATTCTGGTGACTTCGATCGGGAGCTACCAGCCATTGCAAGTGATTGTCCACAACCACGTTTACCGTGGTGTGCATCCATAGGTGTGAAGGTTCTTGATTGACTCCAACTTTGTTTTCGCAGGTTCACGAAGAATATATGGACGCAAAAACAAACCCAAATGCAAAAGAAACAACACTGGTTGCAAAATTTTTTGTGGTTGGTTGTAAATGTTAAATTACCTTAAACCCGTAGTCATTAATACGTTGGTGGCAGGTTTAAAGATGTGAACACACTTATTGTTGTTTGGTGGCAACAACTACCCAAACTGCGTAAAAGCAACTTAATGACTGCGGGTATTTCATTTAAAGGTTCGGTGCAATTGGAACGGCATATGTATCTGATAAGAGCAATTTTGCTAACCTTTATGGATGAGTAGACATGTAATTGGGTTGGGGCACAAATACAAATGACGAATGTGAATGTATGATGAACTGTGGGTGTGGAAATCAATGACAGTGGGATAGTACTGATGGAAAGTACAATGCATGTGTGTTGGAAATGCCAAATAATGGACGATCAGGGGTACTGAACGAATGACTTGGTGCATGCAAGAAGGAACGAATTTTTGCAAGATGAATTCAGCCAGTTTGAGAAATTAATACGATGTATGTCACAATGCATGAGGTCTTCTGCAAACATACAAGTCATGTACCATATATTACAAATACTTACAGCATAGTATTGTGTAATATTATGAATCTGTACATTCCTTTAAAAAAGTAGTCAGTAAAATAAACCATACACATATTCCTACAAAATGTCCGATTCGAACAAGATTGAAGCTATTGTTGAAGCTCATGTTGCTCCTATATTCTAGCAGTTGCAAGCTATCTACGAAAGGCTGAATGAAGTGGACACACGGTTGTCAAGTTTGGAGCGGCAAGTCGGCACTATCAAGAAGAACGTTGATTGGCTGACCGATGACAAATTGGCGACGGACGAAGCGAAGTCTGATAAGACAATGGATGAGGACAGTCAATCAGACAGTATGGACAACTCTTCAGAAGACGCTGCTGATGATGCAGCAGATATGTAGATTTGATTTTTTTTTTTTTTTAACATTCCCTGTAAGCCATGAAAGTTTTGTTTTGGCTGGAGTCATATGTGCTAATGGGCTGATATATAACTTACCTACGAAGAGTATTGAGTTTTCATTCATAATGTGGTTTCTTTCATTTTTGAAAATTAATTTTCCCTTTTTTGTAATTAAATTATAAATTAACTTCAGTAACAAAAGCAGCCGTAAATTATATATAGTTACAGTCGCATTCATCCGAACAAGAAACATACGTAAAGAAAATAGTACTAAGTCAGCAGCCACATCGACATGTTTGATCCATGTTTACATTTGATTTGCACTTTGCAGTTGGTCCATAGTTACATCGTCCAGCAAAAACAATACTGGGGAGCCATAATTAACATCCATATTGAAATCAAAGAATAAAAAATTAGTTAAAGTCCTATTGCCACCCAAATTACTGGCATACTGGCAGCCCATTCCCATCACTGGCCTAGCTTGTGGCATTGTTCATATGAAGGCACTCCCGGTACTCTGCGATCTTTGCATTATTGACATCCATAACGATGTCAACCAACAACTTATGACGCACAGAGGGAGCGAACTTTGTACACAAAAATCATAAGACAAATGGAAATTAAGCGGTAGAATGTACCTTGTGTGGACCGGGGCTTAAATCAGGTTGCTGCATGAATTTGATGACGAACATCCAACAGTCAAACGTGCTACAAAAATAATTTCACATTAAAGTTGTCGTAAATACTTAATAGGTTCGTTAAGGCAGTCATGCAGCTTAGACATTAATGTGAGGGAGGGATTGTGGATTACTCGTCCAGTTGTTGTACTGGCCTCTCATCTAACATGCAGCGGTGGAAGCTACGCACGTCTGTAACATAATCATTTCCAAAGTGTAGTTGCAGCAAGTCGTGCATAGTTTCAACCTGTTCCACAAGGTTGAAGTTGGTTTACGTAAAGGATGTTCAAGTTTTTTGTAGTGTTCAGAAATGCACCAGAAGGACATACCAAAATTTTAGCTGCATTTAGCTTCCTTTTGTTCGGTCGGTTGGATGGGACTGAGTCGAATAGGTAGGCTACACGGTCCACCATATCAATTTTAACGCACAACCAATGCACTCCTCTGTAATTGAAAGGCACGTAAATCTACACGAAAACACAACGGCAGACCTTGTTTAGAGGCCATGCAAACATGTAATGGCTTTCATATTTTCATTTTCATATAACGGGATGAACATTGATATTACCCTCTGGCATGCATCAATCGCACCAGTGTATCTATCATGTAAACATTTGTCAAAATATGTCATACACAATACACAATGTAGCTTTAAACACTTACTTACCGACAGATATACGGGAAAGAACCAATCAGTGTGCCTCCCGTCATTGTGTAAATCCCTCTGTCGATTAGTCAATTGCACCACCACCAAGTTGATTGGTTGGAACATTGTATGCAAGACACAAGGCAAGTTGATTAGAAAGGTTTCTGAGTTAGGGGTACTGAAAAACGCAGATTCATATTTGTGCAGCCAACACTTATAGTGTCGGATAGCCACGACCCTGGTTTGAGCGTGCGCATGTCACGCCGGGTGCCAACTTCACATGCCCGTCCATGAAGATTCATGGAAACAACAATGTCCCTACAAGCAATAAATGATCCTTAGAACGATAGTTATTTCACAGTGGACTGTCATTGAAAATTTGCAAGTAGTAAATGAAACAATACATTTCATTTTTGCTATCGTCAAATACATAGTGAAGAAGTTTTTGTTCCTCCGCCGATAACAACCCTTCGCTGTCCAACATCGTCAACGAGTCCTACAAAAATAAACAGCCAACTAACAGTACACATTTCATAAAAGTATTGAAGCTTATATTACAAGGTCTGTAGTCATAAAAAAAACGTGAAATGATGTAAAAACTGTGAGCCTCAGAGTTTTCCCAACTTGTGATGTTTGGTGCGGAGTTTGTTAGAAATGTGTACTAACATATGGCAGCAGTCATAACTGCAAACATGCAATTCTTTGACAACTAGTACAATACAACACAGATGATTGTAAAATTACTGATTCACATTATTGATGTGGGCATGAATTGGGTATTCACAACTTGTGGGGCATTAAAGGCAGTATTTGTACCTTGTTCACGTTGTCCACACCATCAACATCCACAGGTGAACTGCTGTCGTCAACTCCACTATTTGTTTTGCTATCGATGCATAATTGTATATCCCCGACCTCAGTGGCTTGAACTCCATTTCCGCACATTTTTCCTTTTCCTTTTCCTTTTCGTCTTCCCTTTGCACTTCTTCTAACGATTCCAGTTGCTCCCAATGGTTTGCCAAGCTTAGTAGGAGAAGTATGCACATCGTACGCCACGTTCTTCACGCCCACTGACTGAAGGTCAGGAGTGTATTTATCTTCAGTTTCATATGTTTCCCCTGACTGAAGGCCTCCCTTCTTGTTGTTGTCCCCACCTTCTTCGATGTTCAGCTTGTGTCCATCATGCAAATGACTTTTGTCCCTTGCCAAGGTTCCCTTCAAAATCTGTTGTTGGTGATCCACCCCTTGTACATCTGAAATATTACACTCCATTGGGTTAACTTCGTCAGATGGTTTGACCAAGCCATCCTCATGCGCCTCGACTCGAACAGTAGGGTCCACACCTTGTTTGGCCATGCCTGCCGGTTGCGGTGTAGAAAATATACCTTCGATGAGGTGGTGTAGCATTTGCTTCAGTTCACGTAAATTGATTAGTTCAGTGAACGGTTCGTTGCAGCCCAAACTGAAACGTTGAAGCAGTTGCTTCAGCATTTCCTTCAGTTGAGCAACATTGGAGGAGAGGTTAATGATACACACATCATTGCCTTCCACCTAATCATACATACACATTTGTGAACTTAGTCTTACAAACCATCTTCAAATGATGTGGCTCAACTGTGTGAAAATTGCGTAATGCTTGGATGGATTACCTTGTCATTGCCAACAACTTGCTTGCCTTCGAAATGTCGCAACATCTCCATTAAATCTGTTTGGTTGTGGAGAACTTGCTTCATCATTTCCTTCAGTTCACGAATGTCGGACTCCAAATTGCTCATACGGACTTCATTGTACTGTCCTGTTTGTTGGTTCTCGACATGGCATGCATCCATGTCAGCATCATCGGCGTTACTGTAATCAAACTCCACCTAATCATAGAAACGCATAAATGAAGTCTGACATTGTATGTTGAAGACAAGTGGGTCGATGGTGTGAAATGTGCACAGTGGTAGGAGTGCTTACCGCATTTGTTGGGAAATTTTGCTTCCTTCTGATACGTCGGAGCGTCTCCCGTATTTGGGTATCACCCCAATCATGAAGCCGAGGTGTGGACCGCGTCGTAGTCGAGCTCAGACAAACACAATCAAGGTACAACAGCTGTGGACATTAAGGGGCACACCATAATTACGTTGTTCTTCCCACAAAAATGAACTATATTCAGTAACAATGACATTCATTATTCTCAATTTTGCAGTGGAACGTACATAGCATACCGATTTTGTTGAGGATGCTGTCAACTTTATAGGCACATATCATGCAATGTTTTTTGGGGAAAAAATTGTACAGCACACCAAGGACTTTATTGATGAAACCAAGAAAAAAAATTTATGTACATGTTCCCCTTTTCGCAATGTAGTTTTAATTGGTTCCTCCATTGAGGTTCGGCATACTTTTTGCCCTGTACTCTTTGTTCTTAAATTCATGACGGTAGTCACACAAAATTTATTTCTGCAAGTACCATACTTGGTCAGGAAGAGTGTTGTTTGTCGTACTCACAAAGCAGGTACCATTGTATGTCCCAATCAAGGCCAATTTGTTGAACCATGACAGAACAATGCATGAAACACATGAAGGGGGGAATGGAAAAAAAAAATCAAGTTATTGGCATAGCATTAGCAGGAAAACACATCCAGTTGCACCGCGATGACCTTTATACTTGCGAACACTGTTGTGAAGGAATTGCAGTGTCAACTTTGCCCAATTACAAGCTCGCATACGATTCACGTCCTTCACGGCATGAACGAACGATGGCTTCAACCCGGTCATTGTGGTAGGACACAACATGGCCCCCAACACGTACAGCACAAATTTCCGCCGAAACTCGTCCTCCGCACCAGCAGTCTCGGTCAGATAAAGTCTCAACTTGTTCAAAGGAATGGCTCCGTTAACAACTCCAACCTCATCGTAGATATTGGGATATGCTTCTAATGACCCAGCCAACTGCACGTCATCGCCTTCACACCGTATTCCCAATAAAACATTAACTGCCTTACACGTGAGCCTGACTTGACAACCATGAACATTCAATGAACTACTGTCAGGATCGAAGTTCTGTACCAACCATGCGCACATGTCGTGATCTATACATGTACACTTCATCCCCAGGAGGCCAGCAAACCCAATGTCAATGACTGCCTGCTTTGTGCTTCGTTGAACCGGTTAACTAGCTCAACAATTGACTTCAATGATATGCGGAGTTGCCTTTTACCCTGCACATTTTTTACCCTTAAATTAATACAAAAATACAACCAACAATGTCAGCAAAGTAGTACCTAGCCAAATGCATTTACGAAAACATGAAGTACGTAATGACCTTTTCAGACTTCGGTGCACATGGTACTACTTTGGCATGTTCCTCAGCGCTCGCCTTAGCCATTTCCGTAAACCTCTTTTTCTCATCAGAGGGGAGTGCCTTCTACCTTTTCCCAATCTCCTTTCTAGTCTTTAACCAAGAAAACGACAGACGTACAAGACAAGTAACAACTATGAGTCCAAAATTACTGTAACTATAACTTTATGCCAAACGCAATCCGCGTGCATTGTTGGTAATTAAATAAGATTGCAAATACAAATAACAGTTGCAGCAAAAAGTCAGCGACAAAACGTAGCTGGACTTTTACAACGAATTGAAATTTACAAAAACAATAGGAAGGTGACATTATTACATGCTACAATCCTACAAACGCGAAACAATCAGAAGCCCACTACGACCATTCAATACAACGTGTGGATAGCAACCCAGCGATGTGTTTCCATCATAGTGTATTATAGAGAATACAGATTTCGATACTCACTATTTTTCGTCGAGTGTTGTCTGGCCCTTGCATTTCCTTGAATTGTTGCTGGCTTCATGCAAGCATCGTCAAGCTTATCATCACTAAGGGCCCTGCTGGAGACCCCCTATATATATATATATATGCAAGTTTTTATGTCACGCTGGCCCTGAAATCGGCATAAGACAGCTTTCGTACATCCGGGACTGAATCGACACCAAGTTAAACTTTTTCAGACATGCGGAACAAAACCAATTTGAAACATCACACACTGAACTTCGACGAGGTGCGTAATTTCAGTACGAAATATGTAATTCCAGATTGTCAAAATAAAGAACTAGTACCTGTAACAAATGAATGGTGTAACTGGCCGCTTTCGACAAGAGCCAGCGATAGTGTTAGACATTTGGATATGTTGTTCGGCAATTGTCTTCAATCTTTTCCTTCCCCTTATGAAAGAGCAAATCATACAAATTAGATTGAAGGGAAAATTACAGGGGTGGTGTACACATTTTGTCCGTTGTCTAATTTGGATCGATGCACTTTAAACTACCTAAATTGTGACAGTCCATTTCAAATTTCGTGGACATTTTCGGTCAAATTGCTAATGCCGTTTGTCATTTTTAAAACAAAGATTGTAATGTCAATTGATTAAGATTATGTAAGTTCAGTAAAGTTATAAGTTGACTACAACAAAAAGTACAGTTGCCACGTATATGAATATTTTCTGATACAAAACAATGAAGAGTTGTAATCAAATGGACGTAATTGAAACAAAAGTTCAAAATTGATGCTGCAAAGCAAGGCCATTCAAAATTTGTGCAAAAAAAATAACACAAACACAAAAGTACAAGGGCTGCTGTAAGAATTGATCCGGAAAAAAAATCAGCGTATTCCTTGGTGATGGATTTCGTTTGTTTACAAACATATGTACGAAACCAACTGGTAGCAAGTCTTTAAGGAGAAAACTAACATTGTTGGTGCGAGGTGACCAATATCCATCAGATGCAATGACGACAACTCCTGCAAAGTATTCCAATCAATATTTACAAGAACACAAACAAACGGCTGCAACATGTGGCTGTTAACCTCAAAATTTTGCGTAAACACAGACAATAACACGCAGAATTTCCCAACACATATACAGATTTTGAAACAGACAAAAGAAAGGACACACATCAAAATTTTGCATTTCGTTCACACATCTTACAATTAAAACAATTATGTGTACAAGCGATAAATGCATAATTTCCCAAATATTAAAGAGGAAGGACTACATTATGTTTTTCATTTAGGGCTGAAGGACTACACGCACATACTTTTATGAAGGCCCGACTACAAAGGACAAAGAAGAAACTGAACTATTTCATGACGGGGTTAAACAATCAGGACACGATTCTTCTGTCAGAGAAATTGGTGCTCATCCCAGGCACAAAAACCAGATGAAACCCCATCTATCAAGTTGAGGGCTTCAATTTCCTACTGAGCAACTTGGTTGCAGAGAGTCGAGGTGGCTATATCGTGGCCCATGCTCCATTACCTTCGGGTGGTCAGACAGTGGGTAGATCAGAGAAGAATACTTTTCCAGGCGTACAAGCAAGTTTCATCAATTGTATGTCACAATGAAACAAGCAAGGAAATTGAAGCTCTCAACTTGATGGCTGGCCTTTCCAACAACTTAAGCGGCCGGAGACGATGGTTGAAAACCAATACCTTCTCCCCACCTGAGTCGGACAACCCTAACAGATTAAGGAAGAAGTTTGCCTTCAGTCCTTGTCTGATATCCAACTTTTCTAAGATGTGGTCCATCTGGGCATCGTCAATGCCCTCTGTTTCTGTGGTTGACGTGTCTGTAGGTGAACTCTTTAGGAGGGATCTCAACTGTGCGTGCACATACAGTGTGCTCCCATCCAAGGTGATGTTCAACTTCTTAACTACGTTGTTCAGTTCTTCAACTTCACGAACTGTCGTAAGGATGAGGTGAAGAAATTCATAAAAGTCAACAAGCCCAGGCAATTCACGAAGAAAATCTCATTCGCAGAAATGGACAACCTTGCCTACCATTGCACGCAACTTTTGAATGACGGTTACCTTTCCCTTGAAGTTATCATCTTGCATATATATACAGCAGTTACATTTGAAGAGGAAGGTAGCTGTCATTCATGAGTTACGGGCTGTCTGGACTTTATTGAGCGCGTTCATGAAATGCGTACTCTCATTTGTCCTTTTTTATGACCTTCGTGCAGAATGAGACTGGATGGATACGTTAGTAATATTTGTTGGCAGGCAGTGGCAGTCTTGCTTGTTTCATTGTCACATACAATTGATGAAACTTGCTTGTACGCCCGGAAAAGTATTCTTCTCTGATCTGCCCACTGTCTGAGCACCCGAAGGTAATGGAGCATGGGCCAGGATGCAGCCACCTTGATTCTCTGCAACCAAGTTGCTCAGTAGGAAATTGAAGCCCTCAACTTAATGGCTGGCCTTTCCAACAACTTAAGCAACTGGAGACAATGGCTGAAAACTAATTCCTTCTTTCCACCTGAGTCGGACAAGCCTAACAGATTAAGGAAGAAGTTTGCCACTACCTGCGAACAAATATTACTAACGTACCCATCCATTCTCATTCTGTATGAAGGTCATAAAAAAGACAAATGAGAGTACGCATTTCATTTCTACGCTCAATCAAGTCCAGATAGCCCGCAACTCATGAATAACAACTGCCTTCCTCTTGAAATGTAACTGCTGTATATATATGCAAGATGATAACTCCAAGAGAAAGGTAACCGTCATTCAAAGGTTGCGTGCAATGGCAGGCAATGTTGTCCATTTCTATGAACGATATTTTCTTCGTGAATTGCCTGGGCTTGTTGACTTTTCTGAATTTCTTCACCTCACCCTTACGACAGTTCGTGAAGTTGAAGAACTGAACAACGTAGTTAAGAAGTTGAACATCACCTCGGATGGGAGCACACTGTATGTGCACGCACAGTTGAGATCCCTCCTAAAGAGTTCACCTACTGACACGTCAACCACAGAAACAGAGGGCATTGATGATGCCCGGATGGACCACATCTTAGAAAAGTTGGATATTAGACAAGGACTGAAGGCAAACTTCTTCCTTAATCTGTTAGGCTTGTCCGAGTCAGGTGGGGAGAAGGTATTGGTTTTCAGCCATCGTCTCCGGCCGCTTAAGTTGTTGGCAAGGCCAGCCATCAAGTTGAGGGCTTCAATTTCCTACTGAGCAACTTGGTTGCAGAGAATCGAGGTGGGTGAATCCTGGCCCATGTTCCATTACCTTCCGGTGCTCAGACAGTGGACAGATCAGAGAAGAATACTTTTCCGGGCGTACAAACAAGTTTCATCAATTGTATGTGACAATGAAACAAGCAAGACTGTCACTGCCTGCCAAAAAATATTACTGACGTACCCATCCATTCTCATTCTGCACGAAGGTCATAAAAAAGACAAATGAGAGTACGCATTCATGAACTCGCTCAATAAAGTCCAGACAGCCCGCAACTGATGAATGACAGCTACCTTCCTCTTCAAATGTAACTGCTATATATATATGCAAGATGATAACTTCAAGAGAAAGGTAACCGTCATTCAAAAGTTGCGTGCAACGACAGGCAAGGTTGTCCATTTCTACAAATGAGATTTTCTTCGTGAATTGCCTGGGCTTGTTGACTTTTATGAATTTCTTCACCTCACCCTTACGACAGTTCATGAAGTTGAAGAACTGAACAACGTAGTTAAGAAGTTGAACATCACCTCGGATGGGAGCACACTGTATGCGCACGCACAGTCGAGATCCCTCCTAAAGAGTTCACCTACTGACACATCAACCACAGAAACAGAGGGCATTGACGATGCCCGGATGGACCACATCTTAGAAAAGTTGGATATCAGACAAGGACTAAAGGCAAACTTCTTCCTTAATCTGTTAGGGTTGTCCGACTCAGGTGGGGAGAAGGTATTGGTTTTCAGCCATCGTCTCCGGCCGCTTAAGTTGTTGGAAAGGCTAGCCATGAAAGTGAATGCTTCAACTCTTGATTCAAAATTGGGTGTGGGAACAAATAGCTCTCTACAAAATTTGGAAATCGTCATCCTCATTTCAACTCTTTCAATTGGCTTTCCTATGTTTTAAGTTGAATACCGTCAACTATGCATGAACTTCAGCACTGAAAGAAAGAGTTGTTTACTGTGTTACATGGACTCGGGTATGGGTGCCGGGTGCGGTATGTTTGTACAGGTCCGACTCATTAAATCTTAACCCTACATTCAATGGTACACGGTGTGGGGAAAAAATATCATATTTTTAATCTAATATGTGACCGGTAATGGTACTATATGTAACTCACGGTGTCAAAATCACATTTATAGTAATTTCACAATAATTTGCACATATAATAATTGTGTTTTATACAATTATATAAGAAGTGTCCGTTGAAAAGTATCCGACACATATCCCATACCCTTGTCCGACTCTCAGGTGTCCGACACAGGTATTTGATCTATTTTGAAGAGTCCGTGTACCACAGATTGTTTCTAAACATAAGTTCCGGCAATATAAAATCACCGAGTACAGCAAAATTTAAAGCACAATTCAACCGAGTGTGCTACCTGTTGCGGAAACAAGATTAGTCATTGTTTGTTTATCGAGTTTCTTATTTTTGCTTTTTTGGCTACTCGAAAAAAAAAAATTGTTTTTCCCGTGCCAACATTACACAAATTTCTTTTAAAGTATTCTTTCGTTATATATAACCCAACCTAACAAGTTCGTTACTCCTTTTGTGTAAGAATTTGTGCTATCAAGTTTATACTTTTGTGGTTATATACTCTTTCACAAGAGGTGTAAGTTTGAAGAAAAAGTTTAAATCTTATGACAAAAATTATTTCACAAAAGGAGTAACTTTTCAAAAATGGTGTAAGCACTTCCACGAAAAGGTGTAAGCTTAAGGAAAAAGTGTAAATTTGATGAAATTTTTTTTCCACAAAAGGTGTATGTAGTTTTCACAAAACATGAAAGTTATGTCACAATGGTGTAACTTCCCATTGAAGGTTTAAATTTTAGGAAAATATAATTCGGATTTCCATTTTCGTAAAATTTACACTTATTATTTCAAGTTACACCTTTAGTGAAAAACAAAACTTACATCTTTTCTATGGTCATTTACACCTTCTTCGGACAAACATACACCATATTTGAAAAGGTTATACCTTTTGTCAAATAATTTCTTTTAACAAACTTTATCAAAAGCTTATTTTCCATAAAACGTGTAAATTTTCAAAACAGGTCTAACTGTCTTCACCAAATATGTAACTCCTATTTAAAAGGTGTACAATTTTTTAAACATGTTTGCTTCACAAAAGGAGTACCTTTTTAGAAGAGGTGTAAGCTTTTAAAATAAGGTGTAAGCTTGGTGAAAACATATTTTCCATAGAAGGTGTAAATTTTTTAAAAAGGTGTAAGTTTTGCTGGCAGAAAAGTTGTAATATCCCATAAAAAGTGTAAATTTGATGAAATTTTTTTTCCACAAAAGGTGTATGTAGTTTTCACAAAACATGAAAGTTATGTCACAATGGTGTAACTTCCCATTGAAGGTTTAAATTTTAGGAAAATATAATTCGGATTTCCATTTTCGTAAAATTTACACTTATTATTTCAAGTTACACCTTTAGTGAAAAACAAAACTTACATCTTTTCTATGGTCATTTACACCTTCTTCGGACAAACATACACCATATTTGAAAAGGTTATACCTTTTGTCAAATAATTTCTTTTAACAAACTTTATCAAAAGCTTATTTTCCATAAAACGTGTAAATTTTCAAAACAGGTCTAACTGTCTTCACCAAATATGTAACTCCTATTTAAAAGGTGTACAATTTTTTAAACATGTTTGCTTCACAGAAGGAGTACCTTTTTAGAAGAGGTGTAAGCTTTTAAAATAAGGTGTAAACTTGCTGAAAAATATTTTCCATAGAAGGTGTAAATTTTTTAAAAAGGTGTAAGTTTTGCTGGCAGAAAAGTTGTAATATCCCATAAAAAGTCTAAATTTTATGAAAACAGTTATTCACAAAAGCAGTAACCAT